GGTTAGGCTGGTGCTAATTTCATAGAGTAATTCGCTACACAAATGGTGGAGAATGCGGGCATCGATCCCGCTACCTCTCACACAAGTTAGTGTAAAGCACTTAGAGTATCCTGGTTGGATAGAAAGGTGCTATATAAGCCATTTACTTGAGTTTGACACGTGGTGTAGATGGTCATTTGTTTTTGCAACACGTCTTCATAGTATGTTTGCTGAATCCACTGGATTCACACACCTAGTTTAGATTGTATCATGAAGAAGTTCCCTCCTGACMTGTCATCCTATATCATCACCATCAATCTACAAAATGATGGTGATGACAGAAGAGAACACAAGGAAGGAAGAAAAGGGTTTTATTGCAACTTTAATATTGCACAAACCATGTAGCCCCACTGTTGTTTGTGTGTATGATTTCTGCTCCACTAACTAAATTCTATGTTTGCTGTCTCTACACTTCAGCCCAAATTTGAATCTGTCCTGTCTGAGATTGAGATCATCACCAATGAGCTGCATTATGCCCTGTCCAACATCTCGAACTGGTTGCAGCCAGAGTATGTATCCAAGAGTCTGGTAAGTTCAGCGAGAATTTGTTTGTATTCCCATCTTACACCCACTCTGCGTGGAGCAAAAGGCATTTTTATGAAAAAGGAGTGTGAACGCTGAGTGCTAACAGTTTGCTGAATAATATGAATCTGAGACTAAAAAAGCAGCACAGTGGCTAAAAGCTAAACATCAAACTGCTAGCTAAAACCTGAATGGAGCAAAAYACTAGCCATAACCTAAAAATAGCAAAACGTTACCTAAAAGCCTAGTAGCAAACTTTTAATCCTAAAAATCATATGTAAGTATGAATGAGAGTATGAATTCATTTTTTTAATCTAATTGATAACTTACTGTAATAAAGAACAACAAACATTTGACACCACTGAGATGAACAGTTGTTCAGTTATTTACATTTGAAATAACAGGAAGTGATGTCAAAGGGGAATGTCTGCACATAAATCATGAAGGTATACACTTACTGGCCGCTTTATTAGGTACATCTTGCTAGTACCAGGTTGGACGCCCTTTTGCCTTCAGAGCCGCATTAATCCTTCATGCCATACATTCAACAATGTACTGGAAGCATTCCTCAGAGAGTCTGGTCCATATTGACATGATRGCATCACACAGTWGCTGCAGATTTGTCGGCTGCACATCTATGATGTGAATCTCCTGTTCCACCACACCCAAAGGTGATCTATTGGATTGAGATCTGGTGACTGTTGAGGCCATTCCAGTACAGTGTTGTGTTCAAGAAACCAGTCTGAGATGATTCACCCTTTATGACATGGCTTGTTATCCTGCTGGAAGAAGCCATCAGAAGCTGATACACTGTGGTCGTAAAGGGATGGATATGATCATCAACAACACTCATGTAGGCTGTGGTATTGACATGATGCTCAGCTGGTACTAATGAGCTCAAAATGTGTCAGGAAAATATCCCCCACACCATTGCACCACCACCACCAGCCTGAACYGTTGATACAAGGCAGGATGGATCCATGCTTTCATGTTGTTGAAGCTAAATTCTGACCCTACCATCCAAATGTCACAGCAGAAATCGAGACACATCAGACCAGGCAACGGTTTTCCAATCTTCTATTGTCCAATTTTGGTGAGYCTATTTGTAGCCTGCTATGGTCTGTGTCATTTAGTTGGCTTACACCATGTTTTAGTAATAAATAAATTAGCTTAACATTGATGTGTATGTATGTGAGGATGACTGGGAAATATCKTACCAAGCTGAAACTTCTCTTCTCTACACACTCCGGTTTTTCAGAAAACATACTTTCCAGTCCAATGGTAAGATTCCATTTTATTCTGAGTTGCCATTTTCCAAAACAGATATTGTATAATATTGCTGCTTTTTTGTTATCATTATTTCAACAAAATAGGCYACAACACTACAGGTTGTAAACGGCATGAAGCTGTTGTGATGATGTGCTGAAATGGGCGTAACCGAAGTGGTAGGAGGTTCTTGGACAGAGGCCAATTTCAATGCGTTTAGAATGAATGAAATTAACGTAGTTAACAATTATATTAATTTATTTTAAAAGTATCACTAAATAATTGTGACACAGATCTAGTTGGGCTTGTTTTCAATCAAATGGTTGCTATGATGGCTGTGAGCCAACACCCTGTGTGGTAACCAGTTCTTCTTCTCCATGTTGTCACAAAAGCTAACAGTGGACGGGATAGGCAGGGCTCACTCAGAGGTTCTCAAACTGGGGTCCCAGGACCCCCAGGGGTCCGTGACAGGTATCTTGGGGGTCCTCAAAAAATTTCACTAAGTTGTTAATTTGGTTTTTATTTTTAAAAATGCATGGAGAACAATGAACTAATAAAACAAACATAATAGACTAAATAAAAATAATATTCCCATGGAACTTAGGGGTTGAAATGACAATAAATTATCTTTTAAAACAGCATGGAGTTTATGAGGGGGTCCCTGGAATTTTTTYCCACCATTTTAAGTGGTCCCCAGATGGAAAAGGTTTGAGAACCCCTGCTCTAGTGTTATTAAAATGAACAGAGCGTTGCTACAACACATTCTGTGGAGAATAATCTGATCTTTTAGATAATTTTGAGCCACTATCAGAGAAAGCTGAAGAAGTAATAATATATGCTTAAATGCAAATAATATTGTTTTAATAAACAGACCAGAGAGTTTTCTTTAAGATTTCCCCTTTGACATCACTTCCTGTTTCACTTTGGCTGAGCCAAGTTCAAAAGAAAGTATTCCAGTTACATGACAAAATGGGTAAACTCATGTTATTTATGCAAAGACTCTTAAGTATAAGGATGTTTTCTTTGACTTTTTGCATTTGAAGGATATAAAAGTTACAAACATTTTAATAGTTGAAAGATAAAAGTAGCCAAATGATAGCTAAAAATAGCAAAGCAGGTAATTTAAAGTGATAGTAGCAAAAGGATAGCCAAAAGCTAAAGTAGCAAATGGAGTAGATATAACATAAAGTAGTGTAAAGCTAGTTAAGTGAAGCAGATAGTAATTAGCAAAAGGCTAGGTAAAAACAGCAAAACTGAAGCTAAACCATAAAAGAAGCCCAAAAAAGACAATAATAAAATAAGTATAATGAAGCAGATTTCAAAGATAATAAAAATTTTGTTAGATAGATAGATTTGAATGTATTTCTATAGCAAAAATGTGATTTTATTTTTTAAAGAATAGGTTACAAAAACCAATAGTCATTTCACCCATCTCCTGAATTAGCTGAACATTTTGATATATGAATGCCTAAAGTATGCAAAAGTAGTTAGACTGAAAAATGTTTGAAATAATAAAAATGTTTTAAGCAATTATTTTTATAAAATGTTAATTTAATTGATATATTTCTGTTGACTTGCAGGCCACAAAGCTGGATACCTGTTTTATCCGGAGGGAACCATTAGGAGTGGTCCTGATCATTGGACCGTGGAACTACCCGCTGCAGCTTATAGTCCTACCAATGATTGGAGCCATCGCTGCAGGTGTCCCCACTCTTTCTGTTCCCTCTAAACCTGGACAGCAGGCTGTAATATTCTACTCAGTATTTGTAGTTTTCAACAGTGAAAGTGTTTCCAGCTTTCCGCTTTACTTMCGTGAAGCTTAACAGGCTCGGAGTTCCTTCTTACCTGTACATAAAGAGGCTCTTAAACTCAAGTGATGTCTGTATTTCTCAGACAACTTGACCAACAATTACAACTTGACTGACAGAATATATATATATTTTTTCTGTTACCTTTTACCTAAAAACTTTTCACATGGTTGATCATCAACTGAAGGAGCATGCATCTCTCTGGTTGTGGACTCATCTTGTTGGTGCTAAAAATCCTATTTCATATTCGTTGAATCATGTTTTGTACATTCAGTTCAAACTGAATAAAAAATGTATCTTTGTGGGTGTTTGAAGGGAGCATTTGACCTGTTGCCTTTGTGACCCACACATGGATAAGTGTTCAGGTTGTGACGGTTAATGAGTCTTTGTGACTTCAGGAAAAGACCAGCAAATCTTTCTTTTGTTGTAACACATGATGAGATGATTAAGACTTCCTTGTAACTCTTCTTCACATCTGAATCAATGTTGTAGTTTCAATGATGTTTCTCCTTTCCACTTAGAAGCAGTTAAATAAGTTATACATCTATTGTTTTAATTGAAGCCCATGACTCTGACTAATGGATGTTTGTGTTTTAGGAAATTGTGTGATCGTCAAACCATCTGAGGTCAGCTCTGCCACAAACTGTCTGATAGCAGAGCTCATCCCCAAGTACCTGTCTCAGGTAAAGAGTGGGTTTTAACCAGAGAGATTTATTTCAGCTTAGAGGTTTGATTTCATCCTGCTTTAYTGATTCCACAGGACTGTTATGCAGTAGCTCGTGGAGGAGCAGARGAGACTCAGGCACTTCTGAAGAATCGATTCGACCATATCTTCTACACAGGTAACAGCCTCAGTGAGCTTTGTGTTTCATTGCTCTGCTACGTGTCAACGTATGTTAAAAAGCTGTTTCACGTGTGCACAGAGATCTTTGTGTTAGACACATCAAAGCTATGTGATTTGCTTCTCCGTTAAGCTTTTCAGCTTTGTCTTTCAGGTTCTCAGGCTGTGGCCCGATGCATCGCACAGGCAGCCCTGGTCCACTTGACACCAGTAACTTTGGAGTTGGGGGGCAAATGTCCTTGCCTCATTTATGGGCGTGTAAACATTGAAGCTGCTGCTTACCGCTTGGCCTGGGCCAAGTTTTTTAATGCCGGTCAAAGCTGCGTGGCTCCAGACTAYGTGCTGTGCACCACCGCCACTCGGGACGCCCTGATCCCTGCACTGATCAAAGTCCTGGAGAAGTTCTACACCAACGATCCTCAGAAGAGTCCCGACTTCGCCCGCATCGTGTCGCCCCGACACTGGACTCGTCTGATGGAACTGCTCGGGAAGACCAAAGGGAAGGTTGTTGTGGGCGGGGAGAACGATCAAGAGGATAAATACATCGGTGGGTAAYCTGTAATTAGTTACGAATCAGCAGCTTTGACATTGTGTCCACCACCCAAAGCTTCTATTAAAACTGTGTGAGTTAAAAGATCGTAACAGCAGGGCACCTGTGTTTATCTTTGATAAACAAGTCTAATTATCAGGAGCAAATCTTCTTTTAAACTTCCTTGTTGTTTTACACTGGATTCCCTTTTTGATGCAACCTAGGATATTGCTCCCTGCCTCCCTGTAGCTGTGATTTAGGAAGAAACACAACAAGGAGTTGACTCCAGTCTCCAGATCTCACTTTGATCCAGTGTTTGTGGGATGTTCTGGACCAACAAGTTCAGCCAGTGGAGGTCCCACCTTGTAGTTTCTAGGACCTAAAGGAACTCTTGCTTACAGATTGGAGTCACACACCWCAGCAGATGTTTAATATATCATTTATTGCGCTGGCCTAGTGTCAGTAGAAGGATGGTGGCTTGACTGGATCACTTTTATTTAATCATAAAGTACAATATTTATGACTAAATACTGCAAACATTTTATTCTGAAATACCCATTCTTTAGATTCTTTAGGATTTAAATAATACCTTTTGTGTTTGTGTGTTTTYGTCAGGACCCACAGTAGTGGTAGACGTAACTGAAGACGATGCTTTAATGGCAGAGGAGATCTTCGGTCCCATTTTGCCTATCCTTGCGTTTGATTCTCTGGAGGAAAGTATTGAGCTTGTCAACCGTCAAGAAAAACCTCTGGCCCTCTACATTTTCTCYGACGAATCTTCTGTAAGAACAAACAGCTATGAAAACTCCTGGTTAGCAGCTGCAAACACACAGACACTGATTTGGTCTTTTGTTTTTAAGGTGGTAAAAACAGTGCTGGAGAACACCAGCAGTGGAGGATTCTGCTCCAATGATGGGATCGTCCATATGACCCTGCCTGGTCTACCCTTTGGAGGTGTAGGTAGGTGTCTAAATACTATGTTACTATGAGCTCTGCCTACTTCAAACTGGATTACAGGTGCTAAAATTTTCCATCAGCCATCCTCTGTCCAACCACCATCGATTGATGATATCTTTAAGTGTTTTTTGTTGTTGTGTTATTTTTTAAGATGGCAATCTCAGTTGTACAACTGTTTACAGCTGTTTATGGCCAAAATGAAAAGAAAGTCACTGATTACTTGGTTTTAAAMCAAACAGTTAATCAGAACTTTTGACAAGACACAAAGCAGATCTGAGCAGCCTGCTCTGGGCTAAAATAAAAAGTCGCAGACAAATTTATCATTTTGAGAAAAGGTGTGATTAGTTTCAGACATGTCTGTTTCCCAACAACAGATACTTTTTGATGCTGGAACCTGCAGGAAAGGTATCTTTAAACTTGTCTTGATGAACGAACACAAGAACACGGAGGAGGAAATGTGTCACTACAATTACTGTTAGTTGAGTTAGAAACGTTAACCAGCTATGGTTTCATTGTTTTAGTTAAAACCTTACAGCCCCAATTCAAATGAAATTGGGACTTTGTGTGGAACAAAAATTAAATGTTCAAACAGATCCCTCAGGCGGCAGTGCATTAAAAACTGACATTACCAGATATTACCACGTGGGCTCAGGAACACTTCAGAAGACCATTGTCAGTGCCACAGTTTGTCTCTACATCTACAAGTGAAAGATAAATTCTACCATGTAAAGCCAAAGCCATATATCAACATTGTCCAGAAACACAGCYRGCTTCTCTGGACCTGACTCATCTGAGATAGACTGATGCAAAGTGGGAAAGTTTCCTGTGGTCTGACGAGTCCTTTTTWTAATTTGTTTTTGGAAATCATGGATGTCATGTCCTCCGGATCTAAGAGGAAAAGACTATCTGGATTGTTTTCAGCATAAACTTCAAAAACCAGCTTCTCTGATGGTATGGGGTTGTATTAGTATCCATGGCATGGGTAACTTGTACATCTGTGAAGACATCATTAATGCTGAAAGGCACATACAGGTTTTGGAGCAACATATGCTGCCATCCAAGCCACGTCTTTTTCAGAGACGTCCTCTGCTTATTTCAGCAAGACAATGCCAAGCTACATTCTGCACGTGTTACAACAGTGTGGCTCTGTAGTAATACAATGCAGGTACTAGACTGGTCTGCCTGCAGTATAGACCTGTCTCCCTCTGAAAATATGTGGCGCATTATAATGTGCAAAATATGACAACAGAGACCTCGGACTGTTGAGCAAATGAAGTTGTTCATCAAGCAAGAATGGGAGAGATTTCCACTTACAAAGCTTCAACAATCAGCGTCCTCACTTCCCAAACTCTTATTGAGTGTTGTTAGAAGGAAAGATGATGTGACACAGTGGTAAACATGTCCCTGTTCCAGCTTTTTGGAAACATGTTGAAGGCATCAAATTGAAAATGAGTAAATATTTGCATATTTTATATTTATATTATTTTGTATTTATATTATTTGCAATATTTGTTTGAACATGAAATATCTTTGTAGTGTATTCATTTGAATATAGGTTGAAAAGGATGAGATAATCATAGAATTCTGTTTTTATGTTTTACACAACGTCCCAACTTCACTGGAATTGTGGTTGTGTTATATGAATTACAGTGAATAATCATAGATTGAGAAAACAAGTTTAAACCCATAAAGCCTCCCCATCCATGGTGCATAATGATGCTCAGAGAAGAGMGCGCYRTTGATCTATATTACTGGATTGGACATCACCTATAGCCGCTATAGCTAGTGATGCGCCGTCATAAKAGCCATTGTTATGCATTGAGTCATGTCAACAAAACGGTAGAGTTTCAATGCGGGATGCACGTCAATTTGTCACAAAAATATTCATAGCATCCTTATTTCTTATCCGATTTCTATAAAATTGGGCTTAAATTAAAGCTGAGAAAATTGCCGATGTTGTGATATGTAAAAAATATGTATTTGCTCAAGAGATAAATCTATAAGCAGTCTGGGAACTTTTCATTATAGGTTTTTGCTAACGTATTTACAGTAGAAGCCCCTTTCCATCACATAAAACTAAGAGTCATGTGTGTCATATATATATATAATTCTAATTTTACATGTTTCTTGGTTCTTCATTCGCGCTGAAGTGACTAAAGACAAATTCCTCCAGCTGGTCATAAAATAAATTTGGTCGGCCCCTCCACCACTTAGCTTATGAAATATGCGGGGGAGGAAAAGTTACAGAGTTTTTTTACTCTGATATATAATCACAAACTACGGGATATACCATATGCTGACTGGACAGAACATCAGTACCAGTAATATCTACACAGTTCAGCCTAGTAGCAGTGAAGGTAATTTTACTGTTGTCCATTATATTTACCTCTCACAATGTTATCCTAACATAAAGACAATATTAATAAAAAATATAATAATTTGTTGGAACAGCAAATTTGTCTTTTCGTTGGTTTACCCGACATAAGGTTGTCAAAATCAAGCTAGCATAACTGACCTACTTTCCGCATCTCTGATATTTTTTAAAATAAAAAATATTTTAATGGCCTGTAAAATGTAATAACCTTGATCTTGTGATCTTGTTGTTGTAGTGTTGACAATTTATGGCAAAATATTGCATCCCTTTTTGATATTCCTTGCATGACTGTCTGCTGCATCCCCTTTGCACCACCATTCATGGATGTTCCCGAGTCGAAACTCAATGCATAGCAATGGCACTTGTGCGGCGCACGATAAGTCACGTGATGTCCAATCCAGTAATACAGATCAATGGAGAGCGCTGCAGGACAGTCAACAAATAGCTGCCTTTCTGTGTGACAGAAATGAGGACAAACRTGCCACAGAAAAGCTTCAGTTTATTTGGTTCTTACAAAAACTGTGGACTGTTCCTTTTATATTTATAAACATATATCAAAAAGTGCATCTTAACCACAGGGCTAAGTCATGCTTTTGTATTTTTTTTTTTTTGTCTATAGTAGTTTTTTTCTTCTTTTGCTCTTAAATGTTATGTTTTAGTTAGTTGTAAAATGATACCAGAGTTCATATGTTATACCAGGGGTGCCCAAACATTTTCCCCGAGAGGGCCAAAATGAAAATCTATCCATGGCTGTGGGCCAAATGCAGTTATATAATACATGAAATACAAATACTTTTTAAAGTAAAGTCCTTTATTTTTAACGATTAAGCTGTGCAATGGCCCTCTTTTGTTTTAGTCTGTGCACTTGGAGAAAGTCTGCCATACGCTCAAGTAGCAAAGGCTCATGGGACATATCATAAATTGATAAAATGTTAGTTTTTGTGGCCTTATAAAGTGTGCCAATCTACATGCGCGGTTAAATCTGATCTAAATATTTTTTGTTGTCATTTCATGTTTCATGTTTAATCCTAATAAATCAAAGATAAAGTCAGCACCATGACTGAAAACTACCTTCACCGCAGCCCTTTTATATAGTCATTTGACCAATGGAAATACTGTGTTTCTTCCTATAGGATAACAGGCTACAACCTTGTAACTTTGGCAACTGTTTGTGGGCCAAATCAAATGGCTTGGCGGGCCAAATTTGGCCCGCGGGCCCCACTTTGGGCTCCTCTGTGTTTACTCTGTAAGAGAGAGGCAGGATAATTTGGGTGGGGGGGGGGGCACTCTATAGCAGAACTATATCTGTTGATCAGTAGAGAATTTCTGCCCGTTACTTGGGTCTCTCTCTGCCAAACCTCACACATACAGCTGCAACTGTAGCTGCAAGTGCTAATTGCTGTTATTAAAAGCTAAAAATAAACTTGAATTCTTTGTGTTGTTGGTTACGCAGATCACACAGAACCAGTTTCTTTCCTGAGTGCTATGATGGCAGAACATTCCTGCGGTGTTTGAACTTGTGTTGAGCAGATGAGCAAATCACCTCCAGGCATCTGGAAGTTGTACCTAAAGATGAACCAGATTTGTAGAGTTTGTCGATAATTCCCCATCTGATTTCTTGACTGATTTATGATTTTACCCATGATGCCGCTCAAAGAAGCAGTGTGTGTGAGGTATGCCTTAAAATGTATGCACGGATGTGCCTCTAATTAACCCAAATGTCTTCAGCTAACCATGACATCATCATCTTGGCTTTCCAAGATTGTTGAAAGCAGTGGTTCTTAATTGTTCCAGCAATGGGATCTACAGTCACCCTGTAGTGACAAGCCATGACCCAAATCATCGAAAACTTCTCAAATTTATTGACTAAAAAGATGGTGCAGCTTGAACCAGAGATTCAAGACTATCATAGGACTTTAGATATAAAAAAAAATAGGTTTAATGATGAGCAAATACGATCAGCAAGTGCCGATGCTAAGGAGGAAAATATTCCACATTTAGTTGGATTTTAATTAAAACCCAAACTCTTCACTTTAGTAACGTTTCATCTTTTGTTAACACTCATATCTTGTTAGTATTTTTGTATTGGTGCTGTTGATAAACACAACCAACACGTGGTAGAGGAGGAGAAGGAGTGAAGAACAAATCCCAAAGTTCGTCATATTTCTTTGCCCCCGTAAATTTCCTATCACTTTCCTACCATTTAGTATTCCTTTGGGGAATAATTAACCCATTGAAACACATTAGTTTTTTACTACAAAGTTATCATGTTGTAAAATAAAGCATTTCTGACATTTATTCTTATACCTGAATCCCTCCACTTTCGATTTTTATATAGGCCCTTAAAGGCACAGTGTGTAGTATTAGTTGTTTTCAGCGACATCTAGTGGTTGAATCATCCTCCCTGGTCCTCCCCCCACCCCCACCCCCCACTTCCAAACGCAAAGGAGTTGCTACGGTGTCTCTCAGGTGTCAAAAACCTTTGATAATTCCAACCACGAAGTCTACCAGCAGCTTCAGGGCTAGTGATGTTTCAAGTGGTAATATTCAGTGGTAATATGAGCTTTAATAAGTAAAATTATCCCAGCTACAATGACAGACAACAAATATTACATTTATAG